TTCCAGAGCGCACATGTCTATTTTTTTATTGTTTTCAGTCCAACATAACATTGTGTGATAACCTTTGTAAGCTTACGCCCAGTTCTTGCGGTGAACCCAGATTTAATCAAGACCCAAATCAGTACAGACTACTGTCTACAGCCGTCGATGGACCACAGGTGATGTGGATGAAATGGGGTCCGTTGAAGGTAAGACGTGGTAAGGACTGGTGGTGCATCAAGTGCAAGGGTTTATGGCACGATCAGGTAAGCCAAATGGCCAACACTCCCAACTCATTTGTCAGCGCCAGCTGCTCTGCCTTAAATGTGCAACGTATTCCGCAACGGTGTTCCGCTTAAATCATGATGCTTGAAGAAAAATGGCGCTCCTTTCTAGATGACACAAACACATTGAAAGTAGCCACCTGGACGCAGGCCGATATCGAACCTTTTTCCAAGAATGGGCACCCTGCACTATCCCTCTCGGGTCAGCTGGCTGCATAGATGGTCGCCCAGCTCTCCGACGTGGCAATAAAGAGCGCCACGGTGTCTCTAGCAGGCAGGCGCATGGGGAAGAGTAGGCTGGCCATCTGGAAGACACCCCCGGAAAAATCACGCCGACAAAGCAGACAGTCGCTCCATGGTGGTGTGCTTATGAAGCCTGAACACAAGTGGACCAGAAGATATCACGAGGATGGATGCCATAAAGAATTTGGATATGATCACTTTTGTCCACGCCCTTAATACTGCATCGTGGGAAATCTGCCCGAAGGTCGTTCGCCGTCCTACGGATGATTCGGCGCAACCCCTCCTGTTTTACTTACGCGAACTGCAAAATGCATTAAAGGGCCTTCGTCAGACCGATTCTTGAGTGTACCAACCAATTCGTCTATTCAGGGCGTGTCCAGCAAGCTGCTGCGAAAATGCTTGCCGTGGTCCGTGGAACGCGTTTCGCGGAGCATAAATTCTTACCCCTGGAATATCGCCGATTCCAAGGAGCCCTAATCCCTACTTATGCTCCGTTTGAAAAAGTTTTGGCCGGCGGGTGCTTCACAATTTCCTAAAAGTAAGACGGCGGGAACGTGGCTAACATTCTTATCATTGCGATTTGTTCCAGCGCACAAGAACCTTCTCCCGACACTTGTCCAGACTACAACCAGCACCCAGTTGAATGCACCATTATACACTTTTTATGAGATTCCTCCCGCTGGCAAGCTTATTAACAGCGCTGAGAAAATACCCACCGGTGCTACACACCGTTAGCAGTATCTGTAGGAGATTGAGTAGCCACAATTAACAATGTGCCTGGCACTAACGGACGCGGGGTTCATAGATTCATTGGTTAAGTCACGGCACTAGGAACCCAACATAGCAATTCAGTAAGTTACTGCTAACGGTGCGGTTGCAAAGTATCTTAATTTCTCTGAAAAAGCCGCCATGCATGAGAAAATGTGTACTAAACCGAATAGCATAAAAGAGGCCATACAGGATGTGCGCATCAGGAGGATTGCCGAAAACTACGCAAAGTCGAACCATAGTCGGGTCTTACGTCAAAAGAGTAACAGCTTTAGTCATTCCCGACCAAATATGTTCTAATGCTACAAGCAACTGCTGCTGATTTGTCTATTAGTGCACAGGTAGTTATAGCCATAATACAAATCAGAAGGTGAATGTGCACTAATAAAAGCTTTTGGTATTTCTGCGACACGTATAAAAATAAATACAATGTGAAATGGGAGCAAGTCAAAAAGGGAACTTATCGGATGCGAGTGTCCCTTGGTGGAAGTCCGGACGGCGGGAACGTGTTTTTCTCCGCAGTTTGACTGCTACACGTACTCCATGGTTGTCCGTGGACTTTGTGGAGAGGTTGACGTCCTGCTCCCTGCGCGCGCGCGAGTCTGTGTCTTGACTGGGTTTGGTTTCTCTTTATGTAGGTCCCAGTGCGTAAACGTGGGCGCGTCGTCACATGATTGGTCGCTACGCCGACTAGGCGGTGCGGACAATCGATGTCCGATGAGTCAGCTTAATGCAACGTGTTTGTGCGTATGAGAAAAAAACAAGCCTCGCGATCCAGTGAGCGACTGTGAGTTGAACAGTCAAGTATGTGGGTGACTGGGTCGCTACATTTTCACCTAATCAAATGATTGGTACAGATCCAACAATCCCAAACCTGGTTTATTTTCACTGACTATGCTGCTGTCTCCATACAGCTGCTTGGATCGGCAGGTGCTGAGGCAGCATCATGGGTTTGAGCTGATATCAGATTTTGAGTAGCAACTAAGATATCCTCTAAAGATTGTTTGCCGACCCAGTGTAAGTTCCCGTCATCCCGGGATCGTGCAGGACTATTGGGGCTATCTGATTATAGCCACTTTGTATTCAATTGGCAGGAGGAGCAGATGAATGATAGCAGTAGATACTGTGAAAGAAGCTTTTGATAGCCGACTCTTTGAAAAATGGGCTAATCATGATTCTGCACGATCAACAATAGCACAATCAGTTTGAACAGAAACAGGGTTAGTGAGCAGTAGCGTTCATCAGAGAATGTATTGAATATATATATATATATATATATATATGTTTAAATCAAAAAACCGCTAAAGCCTACTATGTAACTGGCAACATAAAGGTAATATAAATAGTACTGCCAGGGAAGACGGATAGACGTGGAGAATAGGTCTTCTACCCCCGAGGGATTCCGAGTTCGAACCACGGTCGATTCGTTTTTCCGTCGGAGTAGAGGGACAATAAAAAAATAGTGGGGTTGATACGAAATTGCGGGCAACAAAAGTTTGACACGAATAACCAGGGAGTGAAAAGACCTTAGCAAAGGCAAGAACCCTTGGGAACTGGTAGCGAGGAAGCGAAACGGTGTTATAATAATCAGCCGTAGATCACGCTTTTCGTGATCAGTCGAGACAAATTAGAGGAAGACCTCAGATCATCATTGGTTATCAGAAAAATCATCGTCCATTGTGATGCATCATGATGTATGGTGTGGCCCTGTCGGGCTCATAACCAATGCTAGTGCTCATCAATTGTCACATTTTTCGATTTATGAAAAGAATACCATCTAGTCCTACCCACTGGTCCTACATCTAACCACAGACTCGGGCCTTATAAAATTTAGGCGAAAGTTATTGATGGACCAATGCATTTCTATCAGAGGTAATCTTTGCAGTGAAGATTGGATTGGCCTGTTTTTCCTCGGGTTACTTCAAGTCACCCCTTGAATATGCCAACAAAGCTGTCTACTTAGGACACAAGGAAGGCGTGACACTCTTTGAGTATGTCCTACGAGCTGCCACGAAAACGGTTACCGGCCTTAAATCAGTGGACCATGAAACGTGTTCCACTGTGCCTGACCTATATTCCCTGGAGAATTTTCGCCTCCGGGGAGGCATGATACATACTCACACCCAGCTTGAACAGCACTTTTTCAGCGGGTCTTTCACCGTTAACTTAACTAACACACGACCGTTATACAGTAAGAAGATTTTCAAGCTCAGAACTCACTTTTTTCGTCAACAGTCTTTCTCATTCCGGGTATATGGATCTAATGCAATCATTCACGCTGTATCCAGTACCCGGATCAAGACACCTGAGGATGCCTTTTATGTGAGGTGCCATACAAGAAAGCTTACTGTCCCGCGCGGAAAACCTAAGGAGCAGTTCTACAGCTTTTTCCGTCTGTGCCTATCAGGTTAATGGAAGCAGCTGAATGACGCGAACAAGCCCTACCCGCGAAGTTTCGGCGAAGGTTTCTATCCTCTGTATTTATACGTGAATCCATGGAATAAAAACTGTAATGGAGACACGGACATATATCTACGGAACTATTTTTGTGGCTATAAAATTTTGCACTGAGTAAATGGGCCCAAAGGTCTCAATGATGATTGGCTCATATTCTGGCCACTCAGAGCGCACCCACACTTGGAGACACGGCATATATCTACGGAACTATTTTTGTGGCTATAAAATTTTGCACTGAGTAAATGGGCCCAAAGGTCTCAATGATGATTGGCTCATATTCTGGCCACTCAGAGCGCACCCACACTTTTCCCATTGCCGCTTTGCGGCTCTGTCATGCTCGACATGCTGTTTGGTCATTTCGAATGACCCGACTCCAGGCACCATGCTTTGCTAGTTGTATTGGAATTGAACTATAGAAACACGGTGTCCTTCGCCGATGGCATGGACTTCCGGTGAATTGGTTGCTGTTGATTGAGAGGTTTTAAATCAAGTCGATTCCACCATTTCGGATTTACCATTGTCGCAAATGATTGGACGTAGCATGAACCGGACATTTTACGGAGCTTCACACCACTTTATGGAGAGGCTCGAGGATCAGCGTATGAACGAGGCTTTGTGTGCACAGTACAACCGCCTGATCCATACAAGTATACACTATTGATGCCCTGTCTCTCCTGCGTTCCGGTCATCGCAGATTCGAAGCACTTAACTATTGATTCTTGGAGAAAGTGATCAAAGTTCGTTGGAATGACGTTGTCCAAAGATGTTATAGGGGACCGGTGTTATTTTACGGGTTCACATTGATCCAAGTACGCGAGCAATGTGTAGTGTGCACGCTATGGAAGCACCAAGGGACAGTGATTCTCCGTAGGCTGGTGTTCACGACCATGCTGGGAACGCCAAAGGGGAGCAGCCAGACGAAGAACACAGAGTCCCTGTCCTTCGAGCAATCGTATACCGAGGCGGTCTGGAGGTAAAGCCGTACTGTCCTCTGCAATAGGAGTATGAAGGCAATAATGTGTTTTCCCCAGGTGACCAACATGTCTATGTTTATGGAAGCAGCGAGGAAAGACGAGTTAGAAAAACTTGACCCTAAATCTGCACACTCTGATCGTCCACTAATCGTGCTTGTTGGTATAATCATGAATAATGGTGCGCTTGAGCTTAAGATCCCAAAATCCCTTTCCATTGTGATCCACTTATTGAAGATCTAGGTTCTACTCAGGTGCCGAAACTCATTTCCGATAGTTTTGCTTCCGTGGAACTTACTGTCTCAACATTAGGTCCGTTCCCATTCGACGATTCTGAGTGAAGAGACGAAGATTTTTTTACTGGGTTTGGTAGATTCACTGCGCTTGCATACGAGTAAAAAGCCAATGGCTCGCAGACTGTCCTACATTCAATCACTTCTGGTTGCATTTGGCTCGCGTGTCTGAAAGTGAATGGAAAGGGACGGGGTCTAACCCCATGTGATTGGCCCTAACGGGATTAGGAGTACTTAGGCCTGTGGGATCAGTTAAAATCCAAGGTGGTCTGTGGAAAGCGGTGACTAACACCTAAGTATCGGTCTCCTTCCAACAAGCTTGTTGGGAGGCGGGACCCGGATGAGGTACCATACGAAAAATGCGGTGTAATTGTGACAAATTATCGGGGTATTCTTGATCGTGAGTCCGGCACTTCGTATGTGGGAGTGGTATGGAGGAGAAACAGGCAATGTAGAAAGGTGAGTAGTGAAGCCCAACTAAAGGATTCACTGAAGTTTGGAGGGAAGGCGGTCGGTATCACACTTAAAGGTAGTGAGGTTTGTTCACAAATAGGAGTTTACTCCAGAGCGAGACAAATATGGGGAAATTTTTAATCGATTTGTTCACGTGCTTTGAAATGGTTTAGGTTGTGATATGGGAGGTTGTTGTGGCAAATGGTGAGAAGTTGGTCATGGGTCCTAGTGTGAACGAGGCGCGTGTTTGAGACACCCTGGAACCTTTTGGTATTTCAAGGATAACAGATTTATCCACAGGAGTCGTTCAGGGTGCGTTGATATCACGTTTCACCCCGAGGAGTCATGAGAGAACGGACAAGGTTGACCTGATCCAGGTTGGAAAAAGGTCTATGAAAGAGGCTGGTCGCTTTTCTGGAGGAATGAGGAATCGCTATAGAAGAGAGAAAATCGGGAGTAAGTGCGTGGCTCGATATGGCTCAGTGGTTGAAACGCGAATTTGCTTACCGAGAGGTCAGTGTTTCGAACTCAACATCTGCATCTCGAATGCTCTTGTCCAGGCTTGGGCAACCTGACAGCCTCTCCTTCCTCGTGCTCCACTCAGGTGGCATGGCAGCAAGACACCAGAAGAGTGTTACAGCTGAGAAGTTCGACTCGAAATAATGGAAAGTAGAAATGGCGTTGGTCCCAGTTCCAGCTATTGCGGGATTCCGCTGAAAACAAAAATGGGCCTGATTTAAGGCCGTCATAATGTTGTGCTGGTCGAGCTTATGTACTGCAACGATCCCGCTGGAACTCAATTCCTAAAGGTTCAATCACGCATGAAAGGCCAAAGGGAAACACTGACGAAGAACAGGAAGTCCCTGTACTGTGAGCAATCGTAAAACGAGACCTTCTTGAGGTGGCCTTCTTCTGTGACAGCAGTGTGAAGCCAGCCAGACGTTTCCTCCAGACGAACAGTATATCCATATATATGGAAGCAGAGATGCTGCCTTTCCAATACAAAGAATGGGTCGGAAAAGATCAGCCCTAAAAACCGCACACTTCGATTGCCCAACGGGTGACCGTGACAGCCGGTGCATTAAAGCTGTTCAAAACATCCTCTATGTGCAACTGCATTAGGAGTGAGACAATGTTGCCTTATGCCCTGCGTCCCCGGACCAGGCTGGCCACCTACAACCGAGTGGGTCAGACTATTCAGCCATTGTCCCCGGGTAGTGTCCCCCCAAAGCCCCAACAACCACTGTCTGGCGGTTCAGACTTTTTAGTTAGAGGCTAGGGCAGGGTCCCCGAACAGAAACCTACGCCCTCCCACTTCCCCTTGAGTCAAATTCTCAAGGCGTGTTACTCCAACTGAATCCTCTTATTTGGCCTGGGCAACCGGGATGTTACGTCTGCCCTTAGAGCTCTTCGCTCACTGACTTTCTTCCACGTTCCCCCACCCTTCGTACCTCGCAGTGAAAACCACTCATCTACCTACTCCCTAACCACTATTCCGTGTCTAATCTTTTCGCCCAAATAAATAAACCAAAATGATCTCCTCCCACTTCCCCTTGGGTCAAATTCTCAAGGCGTGTTACTCCAACTGAATCCTCTTATTTGGCCTGGGCAACCGGGAAGTTACGTCTGCCCTTAGAGCTCTTCGCTCACTGACTTTCTTCCACGTTCCCCCACCCTTCGTACCTTGCAGTGAAAACCACTCATCTACCTACTCCCTAACCACTATTCCGTGTCTAATCTTTTCGCCCAAATAAATAAACCAAAATGATCTAATAACCCCCCAAAGATCTTATTCACTTTGATGTTCGCCCTCTACGTCAACTGTGGCTAAAAGGCATTCCATCCTGAAACCTTGCTTTCTCTCTCTCTCTCGATGTACGTCGTATCTCCGAAACACGCATACGAGACCCCCTTTTCGGCCGTGCACCTCAAGCCACTTAGGACGGTTTCAGATGTTTCACATTTCACTCTTTGGGTATCCGGTAATCCTGACGCAGTGGTCCCTGGTGCCTACGTTGAGGGAGTTTCACTCAGCCCGAAGGCTGAAAGCGTCTTACTGGACCGGATCCCAGTTGTCTGGTTCAATTACGATCAATGCAGGTCGATGCGGTAAATGGTGTTTATTTGTCGTATCAGCATACGCCCAATGGACCGCAGTTCTGAGACTGAGAAGGACGGTTTTTTTAAGATTTGTCGCGACCGCTTTGGTTGGCAAGAAGGACGCATATGATGATCCTGGCGGGTGATAGCCCAAGTTAACAGCCAACTGATTCAGTTGTGTGCGGATCGTCGTCCGTTCTTGGCCAATACAAACTTTCAACACAAACGCTCACATAGAGTTACTTGGAGGCCACCAACCGCAAGACAGTCGTGGACTCTGTTGGATCATGGGGCTATCATTTACAGATGGACAGCCTCAGTTAAGGATTGTCGTTCCTTCTGGAACACGCGAATTGACTCTGATCACGCCAACGTGCAGGCCCGACTAGCGTTCTCTTTTTACCAGGATTACGCGTGCGAAAGCAGAGTGTCTCCGCTCATCAACGTCGACTTGTTTCAGTAGCTGATCACTGGATACCTCGGCGTTATCTTTGTAGAAGGAGGCGAAGCAAACGCTTTGTTGGAGAGTTATTACCGGCGTGCCATCTTTTGGTTTTGGTTCGGCATCTTCAATGTGCTAAAATCATGCTTCATGACCTATTGTCCTTGAATATACCCCTTAGACTTTACGGAATGGCACTGGAGGTTGTGGAGAATTGCACATACCTCATCACAATCACCATCATTGTCAGCTGTAATAACCGATGACCTATTTTGAATATACCCCTTAGACTTTACGGAATGGCACTGGAGGTTGTGGAGAATTGCACATACCTCATCACAATCACCATCATTCATTGCTGTAATAACCGCATACTCGTCGTACAGTGGTTGTAGCTGCTGCAGTTTCGTTCACCGATGTTTTTTTTTTGGGGGGGGGGGG